ACAAGAATCAGCTGGTTACGATCAGGATCCGCTTCGATCACCGTGATTCCTCTGAAATGGATTGGTTATCACATTTAGGAATAACCGGGTATCTGAGTCTGAGGATTAGAGCGCCAACCTGGGAATTTCTGGGAAACGAAGTGTGCCACGGGGTACAGTGGTGTTTGTCGAGACGCTTACAAAATCCACAACACCACTATGTGAATAGGAAAGGAAAGCAGGCTTGACTGAAAAACTGAACCTAATGACCCTTAATGACCAACCGGCTAACAAGCCTGCCAAACAGTTTACCTGCGCAAGTTCCATCCGGGTTCAGTATCGAATACGCGCAAAGGCACTGAGCACGACTTTCGGAGAAGATGCAGAGATGCGAGCACCCGCCATTTGATTTTGCACAATCATTCTGGGATCCTGCAAAGGGTTGACTTTCACTTTCCCTTTTTATAAGTAATTTTAATTGTATAAAAGGAAATCAGCAAGTAGACCGACCAGTGTTCCGCCTGTAGACCGCTGAAGCTCGGAATCTCAAAGTGGATGTTGTATTGTAGGCAGAACTCTCTGTGAAATTCCCTGTGTCTTCTCTTTTTAACTCTGTCACCAGCAAAGTGTTCGATGCGGCTCTTTTCCTGAGAAAAGAAAAATTCCCGCTGATATCATTTGCTGTCGATACATTCTGGTCGTGGCAAATTATTACCGCATGGTATCACTTATTATCACAGGTTATCACCCGCTATTGCGTAAAGCAGTTGTAGCTTATAGGATCCAATGATAGAAGGTACATATTTTTTTTGGTAAACTCAAAGAAGCTTCGGTATATGTATCTGCTTGCTGCATGATACTCAAAATTACTGGACATAAAGGGACTATAGTCATGTCAGTTAAAGGCACTGCTCGTGATGATTCAATGGGCGGGTGTGTCGATGACGTGCCCGCCCACTGAATTATCGCGAACAGTGCCTTTAAGTTAGCTATATCTGAACTGAAAACAAAAATCACCGTACCTCTGAATAATGTAGAGATTTTCGTCTCCGATGACGATTTCCGATTGAACGGTGTCGACAACTGAGAAAAAGGCGACAACCTGGAAGTACGTTTGATGGCTTGTAATTACAAAACAAACCATGAAGTAATAAAAAAAATGAATGAAATGAATAGCTTTTCTTCTATACTCATGATGAAGCCCACAGCCGATCATAAACTCGATATCAACTGAGCTTAAGCTAAATAAGACTCCAGGCTTCTCCTACATGGAACCCATAAGCCAGTCTCAGCCTTTCGAAAAGAGCACATCATACTTTCATTAGCGAACCTATAACCCAAAAAGGATTCTGCAAGTCATCGTCGTGGACTTGTACACTAACCCTTTGAAAGGAAAGGTAAACAACAGCCAAGAGGACTGAACTCAGGAAAGGAAGTTCGGACCTGATTGACCCTGACTTAAAGTTTTTAGTGAAACTCAGACCTGGTTCATGTCCCCATCGTAATTGACACAACGAATTTCGCCGGACTTCTCGAGAAAACACAGCCGTGAAGTCGTTATGTCAAGGGCGAATTGCGTCGTTGAAGCGTTTACGACACAGGTGGCATTCGTACCATCGTAATTCGCTTTCTTAATGCATCCACGTGACCAGAAGATCAATCTGTAAACAAAAATCGTTGACAGTTGATAGTAGCCTAAAGGCGCCTACGGTATTTCATGAGAGTGATACGTTTGTGCTTGAAATAAACAAAAATAAGCAAAGAAACAACTGAAAAACAGACCCTTTTGCGGGGTCCACCTCGATGTGTCTGACTGGCCCATCACTATCAATCAACAGTCGAACTCTAAGATTTTCTTTGACTCGGCGTGGGTCCATTATGAAGATCTCTCCAGCTCGTCTAGAAATTTCTGCGGCAACAATCAAATTACCTGAAAATGAGCACATTTCTACAATCTCGGGATTTATCATATGCTCACTTGCCAATCTTTATTCTAATCATTGGCTGGAAAACAATGGCATTATGAATTGATGGAGGGGGCGATCTCTGAGGCGTTCTGCCCACGACTGACCCTAAGCCCAAAGTGGCCCAAACTGAACCGCACTTGGGTATTTCAGCCAATACATCTCAAATCATTCCAAATAAAGTAGAGCAGGGGAGCTGAGCATTTGACTGCGATCACAATGAGCTGATGCCTTCAAGGTTGAATGCTCCAGAATTTTCAATAAACCATGCACTCGATCTCCTCTAACATTGTAGAAAGGATTGGAAGGTGTAGCTCGCCCAGCTCACACTCTTCATTAGCACGTCCCTCCCTTCAACTCAGGGACAACAATGGTATTTTAACAAAAGTGCAGAGACCTGGCCTGGCATGCCCACAGCTACAATTGGAACGTCCAACGCTCCGCTTCGTTTATACTTACCCGTGACTGTGTCCACAGTGATTGCAGTGAGCGTGTCTTCACTAGTCAGGAGGCGGTCAGCATATGAGCCATTCAGGTGTGTCACCCATAGCTCGAAATCCGAGATCATGTACACCTTAAAGGTAATTCAAGGGAGCGCCTCGAGAAGGGAAAAATACGAAAAATGGAAAATCGGTTACCAGGTCATTTTTATTATCGATAGCGATTTTTCTCCATTGCTTGTAGGCAATGTTGGGGTGCAGAATGAACGCAGGAGCGGATCCATTTACTGTGGAGAACAGCTTGTCACCACCTAACAGTAGTACTTCCGAGCTCACTGAAAATAGGCCAAAAACAGTCAAGGTTTGAAAAAAGTTTAATCTCAGACAGAACGAATATTCAAGGTTTGCTACAGTAAAATATCGGGAAACAAAGCGAATTCAACGTAACAAACCTTCACAACGTTCTCCTTTCAGCGTGTATCCCTGAGCACAAAGACATTTGTAACTGCTTTTCGTCGATCTAACGCATAAATGTTGGCAGAACGTTAGACCGCACTGAAATGACACTTTGCTCGTGATCGTTACTGAAAGAAATAAGCAAGATGTATAGCCGTTCCCACCTGGGAACATCGCGACTCTTTCAACATCTCCAACACAGAGAGCTACCAATTGAAGACCCAATATTTAAGCGATTTTGACCAAAATCAAACTACTTAGTTATAAGAAGGACCAAAATCATCGATGGAGTTCATTGACCGGGCGTTTTCAAACACACATAGCGCATCCCAAACGGGGACTGAACAATGCTGAACCCACCATGTCTTCTTAAGATTGCGATTCTACTCAAACTACATATAAAACGAAAAGTTTTGATAAATTAATTTGATAAAATAACCTTAGGAGAGGTCGTTCGGTCCATGATGGTCGCCGTTACAAAGGGATCTCGCGACGATAGACTGGTGATATTCGTGGAGTTCGTCCTGAAAATATCGGTTTGACCAGAGTAGTATAAACAATGAAAATTATTTTTACGAAGAAAATAGTGTATTTTCCCGAGTGAAGTAAGGGTAAACTGCAAGGTGAGTACGCAACTTTCCTGAAGTAAACCGCAAATGCTCAAGGAAAGGTATTTCTGTGCTGCTGCTGTTGAAAAACCTCTTTAGTCACCCAGATAGCAACCCCGATTAAGTAGAGTACTAAGCCGAAGGATTCTTACGAAGATTTAATACCAAATAGTAATATAACAAAAGTATTACTTCTTACCCCCACATTTTTTACCCACACACGATTCCTGAATGAGCCACACCCATATAATCACTTTTGAGTAAATTCATCGAATTTATAATTTTTATTCCATACCATATGTCAGCAGAATTTGAACCGAACTTTTTCTTCACCAGAACGCTATCGACCACTAAAAAGACGTCACCAGTCCAGTGATCGACCGTAATCGCATCGATGCGGCTACCGTTGGCATAGGTGTACGGTGAGATCTAAATGTGAAGTTACGAGATTCGTCAGGTGCATGGCGCATAAAGAACACTCACTCCGGAGCTACCTATACCTCTCTATCCGTAGGGTGCTGGAGGTTTTGCCGCGAGAGAAAAATCAACATACCGCCCAAGTTTTTGTATCCATCGCCATGACCAGCGAGTTCTTCGACGACAGTAGTAATATTCGGGAGCCTTGTCGATCGTAAGCTATCCCACTGACGTCTTCCAGGAGTTCATCGAACGACTCTGAAGCCCAAACCAGGAAATTTATAACATTTGCTTATCCTAACCAATTCATACAGACTACATCCCAACGGAACTGGGTTATGGGTTATAAAAATAAAGAGTATATAAAAAAGCCCACCAGTATTGATTCGCTGGATATTCGTGCCATCACCATAGCTCGTGAAAAATGCTGGAGGAGTGTAGCCAACATCCTGCCACAACAATGTCCTAAACATGCGTTATCGACAGATCTGCTCGAGACTCGTCCGATAATGGTTGAACTCACGCTGTTTCTCCCAGGAAAACCAGGTATTTAGGCTTCCGCAGCTCCTTGTTGACCGTTGGATCGATAATCGATCGATGAGCAGCATCATTAGCAGCGAAGATAGCCGAATGGGAATCGGTGAAACTGGTGTAGTAAACAGTACCGGTCCTTCGGTCAACAGCCAGACCATGACATTCGGACAGATCTGAAACCACTGGCAGTCCGAACACTGATAGGAATTCCGTCAGTTGATATATAAACTGTGAATGGCGATATCCCTTCTGGGGGTATTACCCAAGTGTGGCTTTTTAGAAGGAGACTTTCAAAAATACTGTAAAGCCGAGCTAGACGGTCCCATTCTTTTTCCATTTCATTTCATTTCTTACATTTCCTCGGCGAAAAGTGTATCGAAAACGGACCATCCAAAACCCACATTCCATTAAAAATGCTAATCTTGGCAGCTCAGCCCTCAAGCTGACTATACGGTGAAGCTGATTCACTACCCCAACTTTTTTACTTTAGTTACAATGGGATCGTTATCATCTGCTCTCTAGCGTTTTCGAACAAATATGGTTTACGCTACAAAAGGCTACAGAGCAGACGATAACGATTCCTTCGTAACTTGTAATTTTTATGATACTAAATGTAAGTTGAACAGAGTTCTCGAGAATCCAATAAACATCCTAAGGTTTTCTCTTCATCTGCCTACACATCGCATCTTGCTTCACATCTGAGTCCCATCCCTACCCACATGCCACTATGAAAGTGTAAGGCAACGTGTTCCTCCGATACATATAAACTGGGGCCGAATAGGGAATGCTTTCGGCACTAACGAGAAAAATTCGAACCTCCTCCAAATACAGTTCGCTTGTCTTCGTTTCCCGTCCCGTACTGCCACAGGATATTGTCAAATCCATCATAAATGAATATACTGGCTTTGGTGGCTGCGATGGCTGTGATCTCTGAAAGTATTTCCAATAGAATTTCCCCCAACAATTGAGGGGTTCTTGCTCCTATCTTCGCGACAAAACTCTAATGGAAACCCACTACACATGATAGCAGAGTCATTAGGTTTAGCTACTCTAATCTCACTTCAAATTAGAGACAGAGAAGCCAGAGAATCTTTGAAGGATTTCGAAGATCGCCACGGCTCTATATGTACCTTATAAAAGTTCAGTTAATGCTACACACCTTGGAAACCAGCGGCGTTGAATACGGTATCGTTTGTCGAGGCGACATTTACTCCCACGACAGAATTCTTTGTTGATAGCAAGACAGCCGATTTCACTTCTATAATGCTCAGTCGTGAGAAAGTCTACTTCAATTCTAAGATAAGAAAACAAAGAAAACACCCAAAAATAAACTTCAAGATCACTAGAAAGCCCTTAGAGATGGCATAGCGGCCATAAAGGAAAGCAGTCTTTGACCTGGACTTCCTACAACACTGTCTTTAAGGATCAGGTCCAAGCAACTGAAAGACGTATATCGCAAAACGGAGCTGGCGAGGTAGCCTCAATCTGTGTTCCCTACGAGTGTCTAGTGTTGCTCCCTGTCGCTTGCCGTCTATTCATAAGTACCGTTTACGGTCGTCTTATAGTGCCTGGCGTCACCAGTTGTCGTTTATCGGGGACTACAATCCATTACTGTCAGCTATCATCTGATATGGTTCACTTCTATCTTCCATAGCTTTCTTCAACCATTGCCTATTACCGTCTACNCTCTAACAAGCACGAATGCTCTGTCTTCACCGTTCTCTTTCGGCTGGCTTACACTCTTATGAGTCCGTTCAGCGCAGGACATCTGTATGCCTTCAGTTGATATCAGAAGAATCTGTAGCTTGCTGTTGGCTATAGCCATCCAGAATAGTTTGCTTAACTTCGGCTTGCTAGACCTCTTCCAATAGTTACTATTCACTACGAATTATGATTCAGTAAACTATATCGACGTCATTTTCTCTTACCGCTCAACATCGCTTACTGTAATCCATGGCATTTAGGGCATCAGTTACCGTTTGTCGTAAGCAACGAGGTACCCTATTTCTTATTTGAGGAAACAGAGGTAACAACGGAATAGGGCCGGGACTTTATGAGGATGACAAAAAACTGAAACGCATCGGTTACGGGTAAGAGAAGGGCTGCACGAGAAGTACGAGAAAGACGAGAAAAGTGCTTTTAGGCACCGGGTCTCAGTAGCAAGCGAAGACAATAGGAAATGTTACTTCTTGATAGGATTACGGTACCTGCACAAGTGCTCGAGCTTCCATACAATAGCTGCATAAACTGCGGGCATTTACATGCAAATTGACCATGACCATCAATAAGACAAAGATGTGAACAGGAACTCTTTTCGCATGGATTCCGCAGAGTTCTGCAAAATAAAGAGATTTTGTATAGCTCCATATTTTCATCACTGCCATCATAAGTTACTATCAGAAATCAAGTTATTGTTCAAATGGCATCGAATACCAATAACATATGAGTAAAATTAGTGGGATATTTTTCGTGAAAGGTTTTAACCATGAAATAGTCAACGGATTGCTATACTTTTTAAACTCGAATTTCCACCTTATTGTACTTGTCTCGACTATTCTTTCAGAGCTCAAGCGTTTCCCATTCTACTTAGACGGTATTCACAACGTCATTTGCTCTTGTTTCTTTATGTTTTTGATCAACGTTGCAAAAATTTGATAAAAACCATCCAACTTTCAACCCAGAATTTCAAAACATTGAACTTTTTGAAAAAAAAACAAATGGATAAATCAGCACCGCCTCTAGTAAATAACGAATTAATATAAATATGAACGTTATTATCAAGTAAATAGAATACCTGGGTTGCTTACTGCGATGCACCACTTTCACATAAAATGGTCGAATTGGAGTATGAAATACAGCGGCTATTGATGAACCATTCCATTTATTCGCCTAGAAATTGAAAGAGGTCCAATAAAGCCAATGAATCAACGTGTTTTTGCTCTTTGGGGACATTTGGGTGGAAATATCGAAAAGGAATTACCCTCAGAGATTTTCAATATTCATTTGGCTAGAGAGACCTTCCAATTACCTTTATAGCCGTCAGATCGACAGAAATAAATTCATAAAAACCGCACACGTACCCTGACGATGGCGTTTATCCTCCAATCAGTCCAATAAACATGATTCTCGAACAGATCGACAGAGAACGGATGAGTTGAGAATACATGATCACGAAGCACTTCCACATGATCTTCGCCATCGTACGTTACGGTATGTACCGTATCCGACCTAAACAATGCAGTTGTAAACTTCTAGATAGCTGTACAATCCCTCTATCGAATGATGAAAATATCTCCACAGGACTCTAATTTTGACCAACTGGGCCATTCTTGTTTAACTGAACTCTTGTTAGATTTCAAACAATATTTTCTACTTACTTAGCATCAACCCAATAAATCCGTCTGGCAATCGGATCACACACGAGACCATTCGGCCAGCCGGCATTTACAATCGAGGACACCTGTAAATGACAGTTTTTTCTGACAATCAGAGCACATACCACGTGGTAACTGTAAATTGCTATGATCATATACTAAATAATGAATGTGGAAAAATAAAAAAGGTGAATACAGAAAAAAAATATCATCGGAATTATTATTGGTTAATAAATGATGCTTTTGGGATGCGCCATGCAAATGAACCCCGGTGAAACCGTAACTGGCGTTTTAGGCGTGTTTGATCTCACACGTGATGACAAGTTGTGGACGCAACCCTCAATTTTAGACGGGATTTAAAGGCAAAGTCCACGATAAAAATGGTTTCTGAGATTCCCTCATAGTATGAATTCGAGGCTCCCCCTTATACCGTACCTGCCGTTATAAGATCGAAAAACGTCATAGATAGGGCTTAATAAGGGGCCAGACATTGTATCGTGTGAATGCCACACCCATCATAACGGCTTTGTAGAGGCTGACTATCTCAAGAGACTCCCATGAAGGAAGTTCAAACAACTTGTCATAACCCAGTGAAAGTCAGTTCGGACAATTTTGGCCTGATGTAGTCGTCCTTTTGAGCAATGGGAGCAAGTTAGATCTCGTCCCAACACCCTTACCCCATCACGGTGATCTCGTACAACCTACACTTCCATTACTTTTAAAAAGCCTTGAAGTAGGCGGTATTTCTCGCTTTCTTCGCCACCGATGTACTCCTCTATATCAACACTTCCACTTTNCTACCTGAAAAGAGTATCTCAAAATTATTGTGAACTGTGCCTTTATACTCATATTTGTGCTCGCTAAACGCTTTCGCCTCTTACCCTTTTGCCCATAGCACACTATCTTTATGAGATTCTCGCACTCTGTTCCTCGGTGAAAACAGCGAGCACCAAAGTTATCAAGTCAGAAACAATTTTGTTTCTACAATTAGAAATCGTATTTAGTATTTCGGAACGTTTTCTAGTCCTAAATACTTTGAATACCTTGAAAATCACGGTACGATTTTTACCAGCCATTGTGGCTCGTTCGATTCGTGGGTTTTCATCTTGCCAATCAGTCCAGAACATTAGGCCACGGCTGAAATCCACGACAATAATGGATTGATCGTCCAATTCTTGAAAAAAAGTCGATAGGCAATTATTTAGATTATAAAGATCCAAATAATCAGAGAACCAAATGCTATACAAAGATCAGCAACATGAAAAAAAGAACTTCAAACGATGCAAAGTAAACAAATCGAGACCCTCAAATAAACGCAGTAAAGTAAAGTATTAATAAGGTACGTTGCCACTACAGTACTGGAGGAAAACAAACATGAGATAGATCCTCACCTTGGATCAACAGCTATGTCTCGCGGATTATGAATGTCGCCTTTCACCACGGTTGCTCGCATAGAACCATCGATTTTTGCTACCTGAATTTACTTACACACATTTATGCATTTCGATCATTAACAATAGTAGGCACTCTCTCTAAGCGCTATACATTGCGGACGGAAATAATTGGGTAGCGGTATTTCTCCCCGGAATCCCACGGCAGGCGGCTGTGGCCCCGCGGCTTCTACCGTATCCCACCACTGGGAAATACCTTCGTAATACCGTAACGCGCGATCGGGTGCGATAAGCGCGGAGAGAAGGCCCGGGGTAATTCATTCGTCACAACCGCGTCAACAAATCTGGTAGGGAAACCGCAATCTGACTATCCATTAGTTGGATAGCGAAATTGAACAATCGTGAATTTTTCGAAGGCTCAATTTAGCCAGATGGACGTTGACGTCTGGCATCTCATAGCCTCATCTGATTACTCTCATTCGTATGGGCACGAAAACCATCAAATACCACGAAAATCGTACGGATACAAGTCATAATTTGTAGACAAAATAGGTGCCGAGGTCTTGTAATTTGCTAAAGAACAGGCAAAAAACCGTAGAAATTAGTAACCTGAATATGATCATGATGACTGTCTGTCCAGTAGATTACTTCGGTAACCCAATCAACAGCAATGCCTTCAACGGTGGACAAGCCAGTGGAAACGATGGCACGTGGTTGTGAGGCAGCTAAAATGGCTCTGTGGTTGTTCTCGAGCAGATGACTGCTACAAATTTTACTAGCCGAAGCAAGCAAAATTCAAAAATCGATAATCGACCAACTTTTCCCGTCGACCTCCACACGAAAGATGGTATCCAGCGTGACATCAGCCCAGAAAATTGATATTGTACCATTCACATGGTACAAGTAGTCGAAGGACACCGCATTTTCGAGCTGTGGCAAAAGGGGGGTCGCACGCGGCGAATCTGACGGCAGGTACATCAGTGTGTGACGATCACTGTACAGTAAGAACGGTCGCCGCGAGTCAACAGCCCGACACGTGAATCTGAATAGAGTGAATAAAAATTCGAGCAAAAAATTGTTTTCATGAGTCTTCTGAACTCGGAAGAGAGAGAGAGAGAGAAAGAAAAGTGGGAAGAAAAAAAGAAAAGAGAAAGGAAAATCAAAACTTATAAGTTACTCGTGCCTGACTATCGAAAAATCGTAAAAACTTTTCAATGTCGGCATTTTTTGGTAGCCAAAAAAGCAAAAATCATTAGTTCGATATGGTGGCTCAAAGTTTCAATCAACAAATAGGTTTTCGACTCGTTCATAAAGGCGTAAGAGCCATTTTAGAGACGAGTTTGTCAGCATTAGCATTTAGCATTACCACTTTGTGACAGATTGCTTCGGAGGGTTACGGAAGGGTTACCGAATAAGGTTTCGAGAGAAATGATCATTAGAGAGATACAAAAACGAAAGCAGGATGAGTTATTACTACTTATTATTAACTATTATTTTTTAATTAATTAATTAATTAATTATTTAATATTAATATTAATTAATTAATCATTTAATTAATTAATTATTATTACTATTTTTTACTTTTATTTACGACTTTTCAGACAGAATGAACTCGTTTTTCAAAAGGAGCATCGCCGAAATAACTAACCCATCAGGCATCATTTGAAATCCGCTTTCACAAAAGCAATGTGATGTTCGATTCGAGTGGATAATGCAGTGTTGTGAACACGATCCGAAATCACAAGGACGTCGTTGGGCAACTAGAATAAAGAAAGCTTTACATGGTCAGCACGTATGTTAGCGACAATGTATTTGACGCCGATGAAGTGTGTGCTTGGCAATGTTTGTTGCATGTAGTGAATACGTCGGTGACACCTAGTTTACGTTCACGATATCTTGAGAAATGCATAGAAAGACATAGGGCACTGAGATCCACGAAGCTGAACTACCGAATTATAACAAAACAACCCACACAGCACCTTCGCATGTTCGACCGTCATCTTTCAAAGTTCGGTTAGCGGTACAACCACATACAGTGGTGAAAGTACCGTCACGAGGTTGAACATAGCACGCATCCTGACAGCCCAATTCCATGCAAGACCTGAACATAACTCCCTTGACTCGGTAGTACGGTAGCAGTGAAAGAATCCGCTTATATAATAGAAGCTTTAATGTAATGAGTGGTCGGGTAAAATAAGAAAAGCCGTTTACCGTTGCTGTTCATATCCACAGAATTCTTCGTCCTTTGCATCGAAACAGTCTGGGTTCCCGTCACATATCTATAAGTACAGAAACTTCAGAGTTCTGAAGACGGTCAAAAAGCCCTGGACGTAAATTCGCAAAAAATTGCAAACCTTAGCCGCTGGAAGACAAACAATTCCTGTAAAAGTACGGCATGTGATATCAGGAGCTTGACAACGAGCTTCGACAATTTTCGCATTGAAGGCTGCAATGATAAGCAAATGCTTGGGGAAAGTTTGAATAGTGAAAAATTATTTCAAATAAAAACAATCAGAATTTCAAGAGGCTCAGAGATTGATAGGGGAAAATGCTATGTTAATAGGATTTGAAACAGTGAAAGCTATTAGAGAAAACGATAGAGATGACGCAGTAGATCACAGCTTTCCCACGTCCATGGCAAGGGGCGTGACTTTGAGGCAATTACCGTATCCTCCAGTATATTCAACTCGTCCCCTTCACAGCGCACGATCGGCGGTAGAAACCCTTATTCGAAGAGAACGGGTGTTAAATCCAGCAAAGCTAGGAGGTATGTAAGAGAAGTGTGGTGATTAGCAAATTCCCTCGGAAGAGCCACTAGTTTTTGTGAAGAAACCGATTACCCGGCTCTGAGCATTTGATATGAACTTTGATATCATTAATAAGAAAAATCGTTCAGGTTCAATTGAAAATCGGTAAATTGTGAAAATTAATAGGCAAAATTCTCAGCTCATTGCAGCACAACGTGCGGCGCTTGGGGAAGGAGATATCCGGAAAGGGTAGACTACTCTTCTCGGAAATTGCAAGCGGAAGAATTCTATTACCAAATATACTCGGGGAAAATGTTGTAGGAATGCAGACCGAAGTTACAGCTTCGCAAAGAAACGTTGAAAACCTGCAGAATCTTAATCGTCCAATTTTTATATAATTACATTTTACTTGCACATCTAAATCTTTGGACGATTCCAGAGGAATCTCGACTTCAATGACTATCATCAGAGAAAAATTCAAAAATAGATTACAGAAACTCACAGCAATGCTCATGCTCATCGCTAGCGTCGGCACAATCGGCCACACCGTCACATTCCAAATGTCCGGCTATACATTCCTCACCATTACGACAACTGAACAAACCCAGTGCACACTTTTTTCCATCTGAAATCAATTCGAAATCAATTCTCACTCATGTAAATTACAGCTACTGATTAGTAAGAGTTACTCACGACATTTCTGCTCATCTTGACCGTCCACGCAATCTTCGATACCGTCACATACGGCACTTCTTCGGATGCATCGCTGTTCACGACGGCAGAGGTACTCATTAAGTTTTCTGCAGTATCGTGTCGAACCTAAACCGTAAGTGAAGTGGTATACTCCTTCAAAGAGAGAGCTTCTATAGCTTTACAGTTGCAGATGTTGACAGTTAAGCATTAGTAGGAGTAGAACATGGGGCTTGATACAACGCAGCACGTGTTCCGAAACTGGTGGGCGGTGTCCCAAGCAATGGGCGGTATTGTCTGTGAAGATGTACTGCAGGTTCATACGAGGTTTATACACTAGTTTTTTCGCAGTGTGAAGAGGAAGAATAGAACCGAGTAGGAGCAGTATTCTTAGACGAAAAAAGGCGGAAAGAGTGCCTGCTAATACATACAGACGTAATGCTTCAGTAATATTCCGAAAATTCGCAGGAACATTACATTTTGAATGCCCCGTACCCCATTCGTAGTTTATCAGGTTCACCGAGATATACTGCGGCTAGCTTGCCTTATGACTTCGTGGCAGCCCCGTCACCACCGCGACACTTCTTAATGTGACAAACTACAAACTCGTCCAAATCAGACACTCACTGATATTGGCACAGTCTTTCTCATCAAATCCATTCTCACAGTCAATAATTCCATCGCATTTCAACGATATATCCAGACATGCCGATGACGGATCACAGCGAAATTGTCGACCTACTCGGCAACCCTTAAAGAGAGGCACAGATATTTTGCCTCAGATGGAATATGATCACATGATACACAGTGACACAACTACGCACCTCATGGCAGTGTAACTCGTCCGAACCGTCGCGACAATTCGCTCGTCCGTTACACACCCACTGCAGAGGTATGCATTGTCCAGTCAAGCACTGGAAATGGTCGGCGTCACAATCCCGAGGCTCTGAAACAACAATGGATGGGCATCATTGGAAACAACTTCAACCTGGTCAAATGGAGCCAACTACATACAGTCAGTATAAAAACACTTGAAAAATAAACTGCTAACCACAGTTCTTCTCATCCGATCGGTCCGGACAGTCAACACGTCCATCACATCGCCAACTATTCGGTAGGCACTGTTTCGTTGGTTGGCAGGCAAAAGTACCGTTGGCGCAATTCTGCGTACGATCTATAATTTGATGACAGTACTCCAAAGGATACGGTAACACATAAATGAAAATTGGAGAATCGCGCAAGAGTAAGGAAGTACAAACACTGAACTCCAGAACCATTCGCAGATCAAGGAAACTTTGATCAATATCAATCGATAGCCTGTTATTCCAGTTTTCTTACTGTACTCACCTAGCAGCGCGATTCAGGACCTACATCAGAATTTCTCACAAGAATCGATAAGTTCAGATGGAAGATCAATAAATACGAATTCTGAAAGTATTTCTCTCTTGGGCTAATCTTGCAGCTGTAAGCATTCGAAGCACAAGTCCGCCCACTCTGGTTGAGCCCCGCTATCCCCGCCCACCAACTACTAACAATTAGTCATATCATCACATAGATAATCCAGGCAAAGGGAGGCACGTATGCGATACGTACATACACCAAATTCCTATCTCATTTATAGAGAATCAGCAAGAATGTTTGACGTACTACAAAGAATCGGGTAGCTCCGCCCATCTGAACGACAACTCCGCCCACCTTTGCATACTGTCCACTTCTCATCACTGCGATCTTCACAGTCCGCTCGTCCATCGCAGACCAAATGCTCTGGTATACATGTCATGGAATCACATCTGAGTTCCCGGTTGGAGCATGAGAAGTTGCCGGCTGAAACAAAGACCTTTCCAAACGATTACCAACTTTTTTAGAATTCTTAGTAATTTTATATCATCTCAATCGCTGGTGCATATTAATTTGACTGTTTCGTAGGTTTATCAGGCTCAATTTGATGAGCCAGATAGGCGTCATCTCTTCAAAATTGAAGCGTTAACGGACAAGGTTTTTTTTTTACAAAGGTTTAGGCGGTTTTGATTTGATTCCAGTCGCCTCTACCACAGAATACTGTACCGAGTGAACGTAACTGTGCCCGTTCTATCATGAACAGGAATGAGCCGTGCAGAGTAATAAGTCAGTTCTGGAGCTGGTAGTCATTACAGTATTCACCAGGCTGAGAATACCCAGAACCGTGCGGTACAACACTAGAAAACTGAGCTCCTCTAATTCATCCACTTGTTTGACATTATCATAGACACAGATAGCTTTGACGACTCTGACAGTCTGTTCTTCCCAAGAACAGCTTTATAATATCTGTTTCCTACAACTAGTATCTCTCCTTGATCATTTCAAGGAACATTCCAGAAATGTCCTGAATTCCTGTCATCGATATAGTTCTGCTACATACCATTTCGACTATCGATTGCGTCAGGGACGCAGAGGTGTCCGCGTAAGTACCGCTCTCACTCCGACTCTACCCCAGCCCAGATAAACTTTCTGTTTTTGGAGCAGTTCTTTTTTTCGAGACTCACCACATATTCCTCGAATATCTTCGTCGCTGCCGTCATAACAATCCCAACGACCATCACAAACTTTGTTGATGTCAATGCAAAGCTCAGTATGTTTGCACATGAACTGCGTTTTTTCATCGCATTTTTCAGATTCACTGGAAGGCTTCACTGAAAACCGAATGTGATACAAATTCCAAAATACATTGACCCAGGAAAAAAATTCGAAAAATCAATAAATATGAAATAAACTGAAGAAATCAAATCTCTACATGAACCCATATGTAATGTTTGTTGAAAACCATACGTATGGATCTTTTCCTTTGATAGAGGTACAAGTCTAACCAAGGAAGGCACTCGAATTCCCATGGAATTTCGAGTAGAGACCTAGATAGTCGGTAGAGTTTGGAATGCTAATAACGAATTCAGAACCATAAAGATCATAAAGTCCAGAGAAGACCGTAAAGTCAAGCCATATTAGAGATTCGTATCGTAAGCAAAGCTTGTGGTATCTTTAAAACTTCAACGGAAACATCTGCTCTAACCTACAGCCCACATGGGACAACACTAATTACCCTATTACATCCACTAGCCGCTAAATTCAGTAGCTACCCAAGGGGTAGGCAACTGAGTGATTACATATATTTTTAAAAAGTATAGCTGCTCTTTCTAGCCATAAACTACTCAGATAGCTGGTTTATAAATATCAGCCATTTTGAAAAACGGATGGTTCTTCTTCAAAACAAATATTCAAAGCAATTATGGTGGGAAAAGTAGGCAGTCACTCGGTTCCAGCCTAATGAAGCTACGTTTTCGCAAGATCAGCCAGGAATTCAGATCAAAAATTCAGAAAAAAAGCATAAAAATTCTCCAATTTAACTACTGACCTGTGCATTTGGTCGGATCCTCTGAACTCACGCTGAAACCACTAGCACAAGCACATTTGGTAGTGAGGTCATTACATTTTTTCAAATTCGAACAACTTCCAGGGAAACACAACTGTTCACATCCGCCATTGCCATTGGAACACTTCGAGCTCGCTGAAATGATCATAGGAATAGAATTAATGTAAAACTATTTTTCTGATGTACGCCAAGCGCACCATATTTTCAAATTAGTGGTGGTAAATGAAAGGGTGAACCAAAATGACAGATATTTCTTCTAAATTATCGAATTCACTTTTATTTTCAGATTATAATGCCTTTATTGTTGAAAAGAATACCAAAGAAATTGAAAAAATGTAAAATTTTATATAATTTTGTCTCCTATTCCCAGCACAGACTGGGTAGAGTAGTGTTGCGTTGAATATACACATACAGGGTGTTGGCTTCTTAAGTGTTGGGACCTACTGCGCCATGCCTCCGCAATTCACATATTTTGAAATAGACATGACTGGAAGCGTATCGACGATATACAAAGGTATATTCTGTCCTTATCGACGAGTTTATTTTTTATTTTCATTTTTGCTTTTATTTCCATCCACATTTGTCTCCGATGTCAACTGATTTTCAACTAACCCGGAAAGTCAGCTTAGCAATCGATCAACTTACCTATTGATCTATTCTCGTACAGAAATAGCTGAGACGCAACCGGCAGTGAATCAATTGATATCACATCAAATATACCATTAGCTTTTGGAGTGCCTCGTTTTACACCTCGCTCCTGAAAACTGACCTCTCTAGTAACTCTCAATCAGAAAAGGGTAACACGAAAATCGGAGATCAATCTTGAAATCACTCACATCAGACCAAAAGATTTGGCCAGACAGTACTGTAAGAGAGCGGAGTGTGCGTGAGATGATTGGAAGTTTCTGGAAATCATTTCGGAAGATAACGGTATTTAGATGAGAAACTAAAGTCCCCATCATAAGAAAGATTACACTGTTTTGATTTGGTGAAAATCGACTCTTGTGTCAACGCAGAGCGCTACCAAACCGTGAGGCGAGTTTGGGATGAGCGGGTCCCGCTGTGCTCATTGTCAACAGGAGGGAACGAAATATTGGAGACTATGATAAACGATGTTGCAAAAAACCAAGCAACCAATTACCCTAAAATTCCATAGATAAGAGCGGTTGAAACTACCGGTGAAAAATGAATTGGAAAAAATCGAAATTGAACGCAGTCAACCCTCTAACTTGATGGATGGATAAATTAAACTTCGAAGAAGAAGTTGAGAAGAAGCTCCGCCCCTCAACTCTAAACCCCGCCCACCTAATAAACAGTTCATATAGAAAAATAGCGATTTTTACGGATCGCCGTTTTTCTATATGAATTGTTTTTTAAGTGGGCGGGGTTTGGAGTTGAGGGGCAGAGCTTCT